CAAGCCAACCCTGGCTTTGCCTGCACTTACTTACGTTACGCTTGAGTAAACGTCTTTGCTGAACACACGTGTCACGAGAGTTTCTCTGAGATGAACGGGGTAAACCTTACATATAGGATAGCCTCTCTTAAAATGAAACTGAACCATGACATATTTTGTCATTGGATATCAGTGACCTTTTCCATATTGCAAATGCACAAAACAAGATGTGCGTGAGCCATCCAATACAACACGCAGATGGACTTGTTTCTGCCCTAAAGGTAATCAGCATCCTACCTTACATAAACCTTGAAGTGGGGAGGAGGGATGGGCTTCAGTCACATTGGTGGATCAGTGACGGTGATTGACAGAATCATTGTCATGATATACGTCTTCACTTCAGAGAAAGTAAACTGGGACTGTTCCATTGCTTTTTTCTATGTAGGTAGTGCCAAATGGAATTGAGTGCAGGTGCCGTTTACCCTACAGCCTAACCCTGACTCTAAAATTCCATTAACCACAGCATCTGCTGACCGTTTTTAAAGAACATGCCTCTTGACATCACCTTTATTTCATCCCCAGCCCACCACAGAAGCAGCTGACATTCATCTTTAGCTATTTCAGAATTAGTTGTTTCCCCTCTTTTTCCATAACAAATCTTGCTGTATGAACAATCTCTGACACCTCACTGATGATGTGATTGATGATGCAGTCACTGCTCAGCTCCCATTGGTCATCTTAGGCTGCTACAGGCACTCTCCCCCCTCTGTAATCCCAGGACAGTTTTCCAGGGCCATTCTGCTTTTGGCAGTGAGAGAATCTGTTTCTTTTTCTAAAGCCATATGTCAAAATTCACCCCCAAGCCCCCTCTTATATTAAGCACAACTGGTGAATGTTTTTCCTGCTAACAGGAACTCCATGAATTGCTCTCCTTAATTTGATACTTGCTAAAGCTGTCAAGACATCACCTCTTACCATCCTTGTAACTGAGACAGGGTAGAGCTTGGCCAGACAGCACAATTTATGTCAGCATACTCTTCTGATGACTCCAGTTCTGCAGGAACCCGCATGGACAGCCATGGACCCTCAGTTTTAAGAAGAATGATTTAGATACCAGTTCCATCTTTTAACTGTCCATTCTGATGATGTAGCAGAAGCAACTTGCAGTTCCATCTTTTAACTGTCCATTCAGATGATGTAGCTGAAGCAACTTGCAGGATCTCTGCCTAAGACCTTGCAGAAAATCATCTAAAGAGTAGGGTAATGTCCACATCAAATCTATATGTGTGAACTTTGATGGCCTCTTCCATACGTGAAAACACTGGTACAAGTAACACCAGCATGCCTGTTGATACAGGCAGTTTACACATACTTGTATACTTCGTTTGTATTCCTATTCATGTCTCAATATTTATGTAGATGTACTGTACATGTGTATATTGGGTGTATAAACATGTCAAATTCTAAGTAAGTGGATTAAATTAGATGTCTCATGTTTAGATTTATGAAGCAATAAAGACTTTCTTAGAGAGTTACTTACTGATTTCATATCAAATTGTGGAAATCAAATGGACCTCAAATTCAATTCATTTCACTCCAGTGACAGTTATTGATGTGCATTGTAATTAAAAGTGTCTTGTCTCGTAAGACTGTCAATTCCTGGCTATGCCCTTTTCAAACTTTATTTTACAAGAACAATATAATTTATCTTGCGTACCAGCTGACCATAACAGGTATAATGATGGAAATATTCACAAACCAGCAGATCACAATTAAGAATGGCACATATTCTATGATTAGAAAGTTTGTATTAAGGGTTGGTTGTATTCATCCTTTAAATATCTTGTTGGAGATCAGCGTTCAAGGAAATAAGTTTATTTTATAACATTCTGTTTTGGCTTAGTACTGTTCTTCAGTTATTTTATGTGTGTCACCAGTGCAGTGTAACAGCTTTATATCTTAGAAGCCAACAGGAACAAAGATTAACTTTCCAGTTGCACAAACTGTACAGCATAATAAAGAATGTCTTTGCCAATGATCATAGAGAATAGTTCAGCAAATGAGCTAGTTGTGTTTAGAGACAATATGTTAAGCAGTGTCATAAGCCAAGTCTTTGCACATTCATAGTGAGAAGATAGTATGGAATATGGAAACCGTGCTAACTAGTGCTCTATTTCATACTGCAAATGTTTTAAGATCTTTTTTATTACATTACTATATATTAGAGCTCTTTGTTCAGAAGTTGATCCAATGAATAATCTCTAGAATTCAAGACCATCTTCTAGCCCACTTTCATCTGTTAGCCCTGTCTATCATAGCTGCTTACGTGCAGAGTTGCAGCAGTGACCTCTGAAGAAAACAACAGGCAAACACCTGACTGCAATCTTCCTAAGGATGATAACCTCTGTTTTCTATTTGGATCATGGCCAACATAGAGTTTGCCAACTCTTGGTGAGTCAGGCTTTGTGAACCTTCAGAAAGGCACTTCAAATCCTCCTCCTCCATTGCCTGAGTGTGCATATGCATTGAAAGAAGATATTGCTGCCAACAGGAAGCTCAGACAACTTGAAGGAGGGTGACTTAGAATAGCCACACTGAACCTTCAAGAGTATGTGGTACTTTGAGCAGTGGTTTGCAGGAGCTGTTAGGTTGTTTGGGAAGCACACCTTGAAGTGTGTTGCACAGTCTCCGTGCTCACTTTGTAACCTGAGCCTGCACCTCATGTATCCTGTATACACCAAGTATGGTACTTCTTATAGATTGTGAAATTTATCTACCTTGAAAAATGTGATAGAGGACAAGCAGTCAAAATGCAATTATTTTAATTTGCTTTTGGTCCCATCATATATATCTTCATTTTCTTCTAATTGTTTCATTTTCTGGATTATGAGGGTTATGTTGATTTGTGGTTGGTGGTTCAGCAGCTTTTGTTGTTGTTTTTGTTGTTTTACTTTGGTTGCTGATTGTGTGTTGTTTTTATTGTTATGTGTTTTATGATGTTTTTAACAGTTGTTAGTTGCCCAGAGTCATGAATTTGAGATGGGTAGACATATAAATTGAGATAGATAGATAGATAGATAGATAGATAGATAGATAGATAGATAGATAGATAGATAGATAGATAGAGCGAGCTGTTGGTGCTTTGGATATATTACCCTTCCTCTCACAAATAAAGCTTTCTTTATTAAGGGCATACATAATTCTGCAATATTATTGGTTGATGTGATTTGATTTATTCTATATCCTGCTGTAC